ACTCACGTTGTCGTTCTCTTTCTCAGGTGATTTTTATCATTTTGTAATTATTATTTATAGTTTTATTTTTTTTGGCTGTTGTTGTAAATAATAATCAATTTGAATTCTTTTATTTGANAAAAAATTAGGTATTTAAATTTTACTTTTATTCTATTGTAGTTTGTGTTTTGAATCGGCAGAATATATAATTGGTCAAATAATTGGTGATTTTCAAAAGTATAATTTGAAAACAATAAAACGCTCAGGAATTGATTTGTATATTGTTTTTGTTTCAGTAATTTGTTTTTACTAACTGCTAAGGCATTATCGTCTTGGCTTCTGTTAACTTATTCTGCTAAGGGAAAATTTAGACATCTCGACGTTTTATCCAATTCCAAATTTTAATGATTTCTAATTACAATTGAACAAGATTTTGTCTGATGTTTTATAGATTTTTTTAAAAATGGTAAGAAGAATAGAAACAAACTTAATACTTTTGCTGTTTAGATATTTCAAGGACGATGCAGAAAGTTAAAACAGGTATTGGGAATTTAAGGCTGTCTGATAGTATAAAATTTATTTTTAGAAATTTAGATTTAATTTTAAATAAATGTAAAAATGCTTATGAGCTTTGCCAAAATGTTAGAAATTCCAAAGATAGCATTAGATGATCAGAATAATAAGACAGAATATGTTGATTAAATCCCTATATTTATCAAAATTTTCAATATCGAAACTATTAAACATTATAAAAAGAATTATCTAAACATAAATTAAATAAAAAAAGTTGTTATTTATAAAAAAATTGATATTAAACTGACCTTTTTTGCACATTTCCAGCACTTTCGATATAAATGAGAAGCAAACGTTTTTGGCCTCTTTTCAGGAGCCACTCTCAGGCTCTTTATTGAAGAGTTTTTTGCTGAACTTTTCAGTTTGGAACACTTTTGAAAGACATTCTGGAACAAGTTCCATTTAAATTAGAAATGTACAAATAATTCAATATTTGGTAGCAGATTTATTTAAACTGTTGTAATCTGTCTTTACTCGCTTTTGTTTATTAACAATTTTACAATTGAAAATGAGTGCATTTATTTGAAAATATCAGTTTAAATATGATACTGAATTCTGATAACAATAATAGAGACAGTTATAATAAGAAATTAATTTTAGTGTAATTTTCTTCCACAAAATTGGAAGAATTTATAAATTGTTTCTAAATAAAAATGCATATGCTCATTTGATAATATCAATTTATACTACAAAATTAATATGTAGAAAGCAATAATTTAACAAATTTAGCATCGATTACAAGCAAAATAAATTGTTTGTTTAAAAATAAAAACAGAAGTCTTTGAATATATTTAAGACCATGTTTAAATATAATTATAATATTTACAAATTGGAGAGTCAAAATATACTGTTAAATTTTGGAAAGATTTGTTTCGAGAGCAATCTGTAATCATTTAATAAGAAAAATTAGAATAAATGTTATTGCTAATATGAAATTGCCGAGTCAAAAAGTTAATACACTATGGATGATTGATTATAGTATATAATAGTAATTTTATTCGGCATTAGATTATTAAATTCGATAAAGATACTTATGAATTCGAAATTTGCAGAAATGGTAGGCCTGTCACTGAATAATTTCCAAAATTATATGTGTAACTGCTTATTATGTAATTTACAATTTTCTTTATATGATATTTCTTCTGTAATTTAAAAATCTCTGTCCAAACGAAACAATTAACAATGTTCTGTTCTTTGACAGTTTATCATTTTAATATTGCTTTTTGTTATTTTATCATTTCAAAAATTACTTTTTTGCCAATTTAACAATTTTTTTTATTGACTTTCTATACTAAGATTTCATTCGTGCATTCTAATTTTTATTTGATTCGAAGAATGATATCACAGAATTCTCTGCAGCCGACCGATTTGATATAAATCAACCTTTATGTTACTTCATAGATTAATTTGAGTTTTACTTAGCTTCTACTACCATTAAAAATATTAGAATTAGAATGATGAATTACATTAGAATGATGAATTACATTAATTGTTTGTCTTAATATTATATTTTAGGTGCTATACAAAGAAAAATGTTTATACGATGACTAAAACCTAAGCTGTCGGGCTCCCTAAGGAGTCGTGAACTGGCCTAGACAAACACAGCAGGCCAAAGTTATGTAAAATTGAAATGAAGAACATTTTTAATTAACAATAATAAAAGATCTCAAAAATATAGATAAAAATTATATGTTCTTGTTTACTTCTCTTAATTTTTATATGAACAAGATTTCCAATTTATGAGTAAATTAGATATTTTAATTATTATAAGCATAATAATGTAATAGTATTATTATATTTAAAATATGGCAGAGAGTTTTTTGTAAATTATTGTCTTTGTGTTAAAAATAAGAGTTTCCTTGAGTATACATTATGTATAAAGTCATTCCAAACTTTTATGTATGCACGATTGCTTTTTTCTTCTCCTTGTTTATAGTTCTTATTGAAGGTCCACTCTATGAGTAGTAATTCAGAACTGTGTATGGTTTAATATAAAATAGTATGTTAATATTTCAATAAAGTAAATTCCATAAGAAACTGGATGATGAACATATAAATAAATAAAAATCAATGCCTCAAATTAATCCGGCAAATACGATTTAGTGAAAACAAAAAATGTTTTTGACCCAGTCGATGAATTTTTGTCAGTTCTCGAATATACAGGGTGGTTATAATTAAAGTTGCCCTACTCAGACCTGTATAGAGTCCGTAATCGTTGATGTATTTTGATGTAACTTGATATACGTTATATGGACCATGGTGAGAGAAAAACGCAAAAAACTAATTTTTTCAAATTTCTAACACTAGGTGAAAACAATGGTTCCTCAAAAACAAGAAACACAAAATGGAAACACGCAAAAGGTTTTAATTCATGACATTTGTTCAATGTGCAATCCATTTGCACCAATCACATGTTCAAAGAGCCTTACAGCGTGTTCAACAGTAGCCCGATAGGTTTCTTGAGAAATTGCAGCAATATGGTGTGTTATGCTTGCTTTCAATTCAGGCAGAGTTCATATGCCTCCTCTATAGACATGATCTTTCAAATATCCCAACAACAATAAGGACTCTGCCTGAAATGAAAGCAAGCATAACACACCATATTGCTGCAATTTCTCAAGAAACCTATCGGGCTACTGTTGAACACGCTGTAAGGCTCTTTGAACATGTGATTGGTGCAAATGGATTGCACATTGAACAAGTGTCATGAATTAAAATCTTTTGCGTGTTTCCATTTTGCGTTTCTCGTTCTTCAGGCACCATTTTTCACCTAGTGGTAGAAATTTGAAGTAATTATTATTTTTTGCATTTTCCTTTTCCCCATGGTCCATATAACATATAAACCAAGTTTTATCAAAATACATCAAAGAGAACAGGCTCTATACAGGTCTGAGTAGGGCAACTTTAATTATAATCACCCTGTACAAATTAAATTTTAAACTGAATAGAGCGCATACAAATAAATGTTTCTATGTTTAACAGCTGAAGAGCCATTTATTAGATCAAACATGTTTTCGTTTTCATTAAATTGTACTTGCTGAAGTAATTTAAGATATTAATTTTTATTTATTAATATTTTATTTGATGAATATCTTAAAATTCATATTTTAAAATTTATTTTAAAATATGAATTTTAAGATATCAGATGAATTTTTAAAATGTTTTTTCTACCTATTTTTAAGAAATTGGATTACAAGCAGATAATAAAAGAATGAAATTTAATGAATTGAAAGAGGATGAGATGACAATGCAGGTAGTATGTGCATGTGTATGTGTACATACAGATGGCAGACATATGTCAGAAAACTGTTGCAAACTTCAAATTTTAAAAAATTATTATATAACCTTGAAAATATATGAATATATTATCATATTTACAAATTTGTAGCATATTAGTGATGCTTTTTTAATGTCTAAATCCATTTGAGCATGTTTTTGAATGTTAAATTCAATGTTTCATTGATATTGTAATATAGAATGACACTACACTTATTAATATAATATATTTAATAATATATCAAGATTTTCACTCTTTTTATAATGATGCTTCATATAATTTAACATTATAAATAGGTGACTCATCTATCTATATTACTGAGTTATCTGAATCATTGAATAACTTATTAGCCAAAACTTGTTTGTTTATTTTAATTAAATGCAATGCCACATACTTTTGTGACTACAGGCACTTCCTTAAATGACGATTCCATTAAAAAAAGTGAATAACACAAATATTTTGCCTAAAGCAAGAGTTGTATACACAATATAGTGATCAGAAACCGGTCCCTGTGTTACAGTTTGATAGATTTACAAGGAATATACTGTAGCAATACAGTGTTGTTCTTTGTAACTCATTAAAAATCTTGGCAAATTATTAAATAAATCACTTTTATTATAAGATAATATAATAATCAGCAAATAAGATGAATTGCTAATCAACGATACGATCATTCAGTAGAAACATAATCAAATGATCGCCTTAAATAATTGGGCTGTATGATTAATACTAAGTAATTTGCTACTAGAGGTAGATGTTAGGTGCCATCTCTTAACCAAATTAATAATTATAACTATAATAATTTATTAAATAATTTAGAATCATCTAGAAGAAAAGAACTGGGGAAGAATTTTGAAACTGTCTGTTAGGATGTGAAATGCTAGTTAAAAACTCTAAAGAAATTTAAAGAACTTTTATGAATTATTTAGAACATTGATATTTAGAAAATTTGAAGGCAAAAAGTTTCTTAAAGCATTTGTTTCCAGTAATTCTAAAATATGTCAAAATTTTTGTGTATGATTTGCATGCAAGGCAAAGATTTTAGTGATTTAATGATATTAATAAAAATACAATAATTGTTTTGTAGCATTTCTTAGTGTAGTATTTAAATTGAGTTTTTAATGAGTATTTAATTAAATCAAATAACTTAATTTTATTATTTTGTTTTTAGAATATAAAAGAGTACGACAAGACATTAAAAAGAAATCGTCTGACACCTTACGGTTGCAAAAGAAAGTTCGAAAAGGTAATTTTTATTTAATTAAATTTAGAAAGAAATTAATGTTTTAATAAGTCAAAGAATAGATTTACTGATATAACTTTATTTTTATTGTATATCTAAATTACTCTTATCAGATTATTAAAAAGTAATTAAGAAATTAGAAATTATCATAATTAATATTACAATCTCCAATTATAATTGAGTTTATTTATTTAAAATCTTTTAATGAGCGTCATTAGGATTAGAAATTATCATTTATTAGTTCTTATTATTTAAATTAGATTATTATTTTTTATTATTTATTAAAAATGTTATAAATGAATTTTTCAACAGCAAGTAAAGGAGATGTACAGAGGAGTTTGGATACTGCCCTACAAGATGTCACGGATAGGTACCTACTTTTAGAAGAGACTGAAAAACAAGCCGTGAGAAAGGCTCTGATTGAGGAAAGAAGCCATTATTGCCTTTTTGTGGCTTGTTTAAAACCAGTTGTTGTAAGTAATTTATGTATTAAAATACTTATATATAGCAATACATCATTATTACTTTTTCATAAAATATTTTAAGGACTACATATTTATAACATAATATTTTGAGGAAGATCATAATTTCAATGTCAAGATTTGAACTAGCAAATAATCAATGACTATTACATTCATAAAAAAAATATAACTTTTAATACTGTTCTATTTGATAGTTTTAATATTATTTCATAATCAGGAATATATAATTAACATTAATAATGGTTTTAATTAATAATAACTATTAACAAGAGTATTCTTATCGAGTATATCTTTTCTCGACAATGGCTTACACATTAGTTAGAGAATAAATTGTACATAAAATGTTGTCCTTATACCATAAGATTTGATTTTATAAAGACAATGTTTTTTTACTTCTAATTTAAAATTTTTGTTAACATCACACTTTACCACATTTTGCTTTAAAATATTGTTGAGTTTTGTGGTACATATTTATTTCAAGATGCATATATATCAATCTTATATAATAGAAATGAAAAACAAAAACAGGAAGCAGAAAATTATCTCAAAAGTAATTTTAAACTTAGAATTTTATCTTCTTTAGTAACTAAATTTATGTACAGTAAAAGTATCTAATTCAATAATTGGAGAATCATTGTTATTAATTTATATTAAAGCAGATTATTTTTTTAAAAATCTTAAACATCATGTATAACTTAGTTTTTAAATTTTTTGTTTATTTTATACTTATATATGAATATTATTCATTTGCAATTCCTTAAGTTTTAAATTTATATATGTTTTATACACTCTTTTTACTCTGTGGGCATTTGTATAATGCACATCCTTGAGCATCTAGCTGGTGCATTGGCAAAGTGATATGGCCCAGATCACTCATGAAAAATTGAGAATTCAATCTACATTTTTCAGAATAGCAGATAGTCAATTTTTTTCCATTTCAGCCATCCAAATCAGCTGAGTTTATAATTCAGTTTCATGTAAATATTTTATTTATTAATTAATATAAATTTATAAGGATTTAGTTTTGATGAATAATTCCATAGAATCACAAAAAATAAAGTAATTTTAATAAAAGTTTTAATAGTTATTGATTTAATAATATCATTTTTTATAAAAAACATTTATAATATTTGCTCTCTGTCTGTGCAATCAATTTTTAATTTTAATTATTTTATATAAAATTTATTTATTTTCTAATAAGTTATTTCATAGTATATTTTAAGTCACCTGAGTTTAATTTATTAAATTTAATCTTCTACGTAAACAAACTATGATTATTTATTATTCTGAATTTAATTAAAACTTGTTTTATATAATCATCATCTACTTACTCTGGTAACTTTCACATAATGCTTCTCTGTTAATAAAGTTGTTTTTGATGAACTTTCCATCAAAAATAACTTACTTGAATAATGTATGGTGAATAAGATGCAAATAAGTTTTCAAAAACTATTTTAATATTCCAAATGTTAAATATAAAATAAATGTAAATGTTAGAAATATCTGAGAAAAATATATGTATTAATATATGTAAAAATATAATATGAAGAAAATGACAAATGATATTTTGATTTTTACTGACAAATAAATATGGAGTATTGATTAAAAATAAGTGAATAACACAAAAGATAAAATATTGAAATAGTGGACTTATTCAGACGTAATGAATTTTGCGATCTAGTGTAGATAAGTAGTATCTATAAATCTGACAATCAAATACAATTGGAATGGTCACAACTGAATATGACCTTGTAAACAATATTGTTAGGTTGATATATGATTTAATCAAAAATAATGTATAGTTAAATATTAATAAATGATAATAGTTTAATTTTATTAAACAAAAAGTTTTCATACAAAAGTTAGTTTTATAATGTGATTCTAAAGCAATAGCATACATTAAGATAGCATAATATAACAGCTATTTCTTACTGAATTAAAACTATAGTATACTTTATTTTTCTGTTATTCTAGTATTGTTTTTGCATATATTTTTTTCCTAAAGAGTAAATAATATATTTCTCAAGAAGAAAGTGTAATT